ATATATACCACCAGAACACCAGTTCTCTGAGCAACCTCTGTCCTGAGCCTGCACAAATCTGTACCCCAACTTCTGCTTTGGATATACGTGACTATTCCTCAACATCTGCGCCTCACTAGCCAGCGTCAGATTTGTGAAGGCAACCAGCACAGATGTCAAACGTCCTTCAAACAGAAAGCACCACAGCCTCACCCCCATTCGTGGTCTCCTGAGTCAAATACTACTGTGATAAACTGCATTTCTGGGAGCTTCTGGTTCATAAGGCCTCAAGTCAACCCCGCCTCTCTGATACCACCATTGCTGACCACATCTGCCTGAGCCCTGCAAAAGGACACCTCCAGAGCTCTGCTCCTCTTTTATGATCCCAGATGATTGCTTACCCCCCATGGATAACCTAACATAAAATAGTGAAGCCATAAGAGAACACAAGAGAAGCGAACAAGCTGGTAAACTGCATGAGGAGTGCTTACATGACACCTATTTGGCTACCAGCTGTATAACAGCTTTCAAAAGTAGCACCATTCTTGAAAATAATCCTCCTGACTGAGGGACCTCCAGTATTAACTGAAGAAAATACAGTGTTGTCTTCACATAAAACATAGGTTTAGCAATATTGCCCCTGTTTCAACTGTATGCAGGTTATCTTTTATAGAAATAAGAGCATATTATCATAGAATCGTAGAATCATAGAACAGTTATGGTTGGGAGAGACCTTCAAGATCATTGAGTCCAGCCTTTGCCCTAGCTCTATCAACACCACTAAACCATGTCCTTAAGTACAACATCTACTCATCTCTTAAACACCTCCAGGGATGGTGACTCCACCACCCCCCTGGGCAGGCTGTTCCAATGCCTGACAACCCTTTCAGTAAAGAAATTCTTCCTAATATCCAGCCTGAGCCTCTCCTGGTGCAGCTTAAGGCCCTTTCCTGTTGTTCTATCGCTTGTTACTAGGGAGAGCGGATCGACCTCCACCTTGCTACAACCTCCTTTCAGGTAGTTGTAGAGAGCGATAAGGTCTCCCCTCAGCCTCCTCTTCTCCAGGCTAAACAGCCCCAGATCCCTCAGCCGTTCCTCATATGAGACACGCTCCAAATCCATTACTAGCTTGGTAGCCCGCCTCTGTACCCTCTCCAGCACCTCAATGTCCTTCTTGTAGAGAGAGGCCCAAAACTGGACACAGTACTCAAGGTGCGGCCTCACCAAAACCGAGTAAAGGGGAATGATCACCTCCCTAATACTACTATTATTAGTATTCAAAAGGTTGTTCACAACAGAATAGACAACTTCTCTCAGATACACAGGAGGGACTACTGCGGTTTGATCTGTACTCTGAACTCTAATAGAAACAAAGAGTAGGGGCATTCGGAAGGACTGAGTCCCAGTGATAAGACATTGCTGTCTTCTCTTTTCGTATCCCAAAACTCTTCACATAACGTTGTTAGAGCAGCCTGAAATCCTGCATACAGTCTGTGCTAGGTTACCTCTGATTGCTCATCTTGTATCCATCCAATGTATAGTTTGGAAGTGCGTAAAGCCAGAGTAGAGAAATGGAAAGCTTTGTGAAGGGCTCTCCTCTCAGTTCGTTTGGCTGCATTTGGTCAATGTGTTGAATGCCAGAACCTAAAGTGAAATTATTGGATTATTTCAATTGATTTTGGAGCAAATCTAAGATTGTGAGGGATTTTATATTTTAGAATTTATTGTTTTTAAAGATAGTAGTTCAGGAGATGTAAACCTTTTACTTGAGCCAAGAACTGGTATACTGTATTATTTCATATTGAGTTGTATTTCACTAATAATCATGAATGTGTACTTCATTTTAGTTTTATAAAACTTAGACAATGAGAGTTAAATAACGGCACTATTTTTTTCTGTTTATATTAATTTCATATGAATTTTGCAGTAGACATCTATTGTAAGAAACTTATTCCCTTAGTTGCCTCATAACTATTAATCAAAACAGAAAAAGCAGAGGGTTTATGCCCCAAAAGATCAAAATAAAGATTACATAGGCTTAAATTCCTCAAAGGATTTTAACCAATGTCCATGCTTCATTTTTCTTTCACAACAAGATCTAATTTTGAGTATGAGGCTCAGATGATTAATTCAGCAACCAAATGCCAGTTATTAACGGTTACCCAAGTGCTTAGTTTGATACAAGTTCTCAAGAGATTTTTCTTCTTTTAGGATAATTATTTCTTAATTTATTGACTAGCGAGTATGCAAAATGATCTTAAAGGTCTTTTCCAACCAAAATGATTCTATGGTTCTATGATAAAAGCAGAAGTTTGAGAGTGTTTTGCCTCTTCCCTCAATGTTACCTTATTTTCCCTTGTTTAACTAGGTATGAGTGATAATAAATAGCACATTCTGCTTATCAGTTATATTGGTTTATGCCTCTATTTGATAATCTGGAAAGTATCAGATTGTAATTTGTATTAGATATCAAATTATAATAATGTTTTAAATTGCTTATTACTTAAAATGTTGGCATCAAAAATGGCTGTGAATTGTTTCCGAATTTTCTTGGAAAGTTGTCATTTCAGAGGAGAATTTTTGAAGGGAGAGGGAAAGTCATTTCATTTCTGTTAACACATTCTTGAAGCTGTTTACTTGATAAACTCTTGTGCTTCCAGGTTCTGGAAGGAGTTAAAATTTGTTTCTCTGATGATGACCCACCCTAGACAAATTATTATATGCATGTAGATATCTCTGCTTACATATTCTTTGCAGGATGTAGGGGCTGAAAGCCCTCTCAGGCTTTTGCACGCACTGAGCAAGCACTATAAGGAGGACAGTTTGGTGCCAAAATTTTATCTGTTCCAAGGCTACCGTGTCTGATAAGGTCTTTCCCTGTAGTTTTTGTGGATGTTTCATAGAGCATAAGGGCATTTGTAAGGCCACAAGAAAAGCATAACTTGGGAGCTTGTTGAATATCATTATATCATTCATTACTCTTATTGTCTAGTAATATTGCTTATTGTCACATTATGCTGGAGAGAGTAGACGATAATGGAAAATTACATTTTTCTGGGAATAATAAATTTGCTTAAGGGAAGTAAAATCTCTGAGACAATAAACTATATGCATCTAAGGTTGTAAAGAAACTGTGCACAGTTTTTTTGAAAAATCAGTAGAATCTCACCATCATGAAGTAGACCTCTCAAATATTGCCAGAGTGTAACGGTTTCTTTCTGCCACTCCTTGTTCCTGTTTTTCTCTGTTGCTTCTTGCTTCTTACTTTTTTCCTCTGCTCCAGCATGGCTCCTCCATCAGTTGCAGTCCCTTCAGGGGTGTTACCTGCTCTGCCATGGAGCACCTCCTACTACACTGGCCTTGTTGCCTTTTGGGGGAATTTACTGCCCTTTCTTCAATACACTTCCCCAGAGGCCCCACCACGGTGGCTGTGGGGCCCAGCAGTGCCCTGCGGGGGTGGCTTGGAGCCATCTGGAACCAGCTGTGTCCGGCACAGGGCAGTCCTAGCTGCCCCTCACAGAGGCCGCCCCACAGCACCCCCCACTATGAAACCTTTCCCAGTTATGCCCAATATAGAATCACAAAATGGAGCCACACAAATACTGGCCAACAATTTAAGACATTCATTAGTAGTGAAACCATTCCTGTCTAGTAAACACATGGCTTTTGATAGTGAAATGGCACAACAGTGAGCTTTTCCAGAACAGTAACCTTGAATTCCAAATATTCTGTTTGAATCAATGTTGTTGAGAAGATAACATAAAATACTGTGATAGGAAAAGCAGAAGTCCGGTGCTTTGCCTTTTGTTTACAGGCAAGCATATGGAGTGTGCCTGGATGAACTACGATGTAGCCAACACATTGTTGAAAACAAACGTCTTCTCCCCAAACCAAAAACTGTCCCAAGTGTCCTCACAGTACATTTACTAGTTGCAGACTTTACAAAGAGAAGTATCATGTAAATTGAACGTTTCTTGTGTTATATTTCTTGTCATTGTGTCAGAATATCCATTTGTGTCTGGGGAGACTGGGAAAAAGAAATTTAACTTGTGCACGGAAGATGAAATATGTTATAAAAGGTCAAGGGGATCTGAGGACTGGGTAGCAGTAACTCTGCCTTTCTTTTTGAATAAGGGCATATGAATTTCATACACAGCCATATTTCTATATGCAGGCTGTGGTGTGACTTTACCTTAGCTTCCACCCTGCCTCTGGCCTCCCAGCTTGCTTATCTGATTGTCTTTCAGAGACTGCCGAAGTATGTGTCTTCCTCACCCCCCCAGCTGTCATTTGATGCTGCATCATCCCCAAACATCCTTAACTTATCAAATACTTTAAAATATATTGCGATATTTGAATGTTCTTGCAAGTTGAATGGTTTCATTGCCCAGTCTGAGTAAAATGTAAACAATAAAGTAGCACAGAGTGAAAACTAAATGGACATGCAGGAATATCAGAAAACGAGGTACAGATATACATGTTAATACTTTTAACTTTACGGTTCCCTGTAAAGATTCAAATATGCATTTAAAGTCCATTGTTGTTTGCTGACTAGACTTTTCTGTGTTTATGTAAAATGTTTATAAACCTCAATATGAATTCACATTTTCTCTTCTTTTTGTTTTTCTCTTAATTCCTCTTTCAGGAACTTGAATTTCAGGATCTGACGGCAGTTTTACACTGTATTCACTCCTTTATAGCAGCAAAAGTGGCATCTGTGGATCCAGTATTCATAGACAGTCAGAGTATTGCAAGAAAATATATGTACAGTAACTGATATGATTATATGTCGTGACTATGGAAATAAATTATTTTCTTACAGAAAGTAGTTATTTCATGCACAATATTGCAAATTCGTGGTTTTATAAGAAGTCTATAGTTGTATTATCTGTAACGTTAAGAGTTTTCACAATCCGTTAAACATTTTGAATCTGAATAAGTTTGTCATCTTCAGCATTAATCTAAAACTCTAAGTGAATGTTCATTCAATAATATTTGTAGTGACATTTTAATTTCTGTTCTCGTAGTCTTATTTATTCCCCCATATTAGACAGGAACATGGAATAACATTTCATAGAATCAGAGAATCACAGAATGATTTAGGTTGGAAGGGACCTTAAAGATCGTCTAGTTCCGCCCCCCCCTGCCATGGTCAGGGAGACCTCCCACTAGACCAGGTTGCTCAAAGCCCCATCCAACCTGGCCTTGAACACTGCCAGGGAGGGGGCAGCCACAGCTTCTCTGGGCAACCTGTTCCAGTGTCTCACAACCCTCACAGTGAAGAACAACTTGCCAGTGTCTAATCTAAGTCTACTGTCTTTCAGTTTAAAGCCATTACCCTTTGTTGTAGCACTATGTGCCCTTGTAAAAAGTCCCTCTCCAGCTTTCTTGTAGACCCCCTTTAAGTACTGGAAGGCTGCTATAAGGTCTCCCCAGAGCTTTCTCCTCTCCAGGCTGAACAACCTCAACTCTCACAGCCTGTCTTCACAGGAGAGGTGCTCCAGCCCCTGATCATCTTTGTGGCCCTCCTCTAGACCCGCTGCAACAGGTCCATGGCCTTCTTATGCTGGAGGCCCCAAAGCTGAACACAGTACTCCAGGTGGGGTCTCACCATGGCAGAGTAGAGGGGCAGAATCACCTCATTCGACTTGCTGACCACACTTCTTTTGATGTAGCCCAGGATGTAGATGGCTTTCTGAGTTGCAAATGCACGTTGCCAGATTATGTTGAACTTCTTGTCAACCAACACCCCCAAAAGTGTGTGTCCAAAATTTGGCCTCTAAGTCTATTTTGAAAAGTGCTGAGCACACAGACAATTTCTACAGCCTTCACTGTACAAAACAACTAATTATTGAAGATAACTGCCATAGGAATTGAACTTTTATTTGCTTCTATATGTTTGAAAAATTATTGTTCCACGGTCCAGTTCTTTTGAGGTCTGAGAGTTTAGCTCTGGCAAAACTATTTCAGATCAAGGAAAAGACTTAAGCACACACTTGACTCTAGGCATATTAAGTAGCCCCAGCGTATGCAGCAGGTAATGTTAAGTATGTATTTAAATATCATGGTAGATCAACTGAAGAGCTTTAGACTGTGCTAAGAAGCCTAACTATAAGCACCCAGTTTTAGAAAACTTGCCATAGGGTTTTCTTATCTATTAATAAAGCTTCCACAAATCATTCATTTGTTCATTCATAGATTGCCTTGACACTATCCTTTGATGTGATGCTCTGTATTGTTGAGAACAGCTTCTTTAATAACTGTTTTGTTTGGAGGAGGATTCCCCCAGTATAGGATGAACATAACAAAACATAAAGATTTTTCTAGGCCATCTACCATTTTTTTTTCCTACAGCTCTAACCCTGACTTATACAGAAGCAAAGTGGGTTTTGTCCTTGCTAAGGAAATATCATTCTACTTTTGACATATTCCTATCCTTCCTTCTCAAATCATCTTCTTATATGCACAGATAATTCTTCCTACTATTGAAAAAGTATATAAAAGGAACACATTTTACTTTTAGGGCATATTCCCTGTAAGTAATACCAAATATTGCAGGTTTCTGTGATAGAAGTCAGTTGTTCTCAAGTGCAGTTTTGAGGCAGCATCAGCCTTTTTTTTTTTTTTTCCCAAGAAAATAAAACAGTCAAAAAATCAAGCAAGAATATCCTAAATAGATACAATGGTTATGAAGTGAATTCATCGAAGTCCTCCTTGAATTTTAGGAGTCTAGTAAAGTGTCCTGCTAAAGTAAAAGCCTAAAGTTACTGTAGACTACAGAAAAGAGGTAGGTGCCTTTAAGAGCTCTCAGGTGAGGAGTGTTTTTACATAACTTCAGTGCTTAAATTTAGTCAGAGAAGTTCCCCCTCTCAGGTCTTAAGGTAGTTAGCTGTCTTGGCAGACTACAGTGGGGCCTCAGGCACTTACTTTAGATGGATGCTATCTGTCCATCTAAAGCTTAGGCACATATAAAGTGCCTAAAGTAGGTGTTTTGATCCTATCCTAAGGATTACCTGTGACCAAGGCCAAGTGTTATCCATAGAGAAATTCATTTGAACAGTAGAGACTCTGTTTGTAATTCCATGTTGTTTATGGTTCTAATGTTTGCAAGGAGGCACAGTAGGAGTGCTAACTCCTGTTAAAACAATATTTAGCAAAGGTAAGAAATATTTTTATTAATTGTAAATAAATATTTATAGCCATTATGGTATTTTTTAACTAATATCATCTCAGTTTTATATTACATTTTTTCAAAAAAAATCAAAATTGTCTTTCTTGAACATGCTTTTATTAAAAATGTTTCGTTTCATTTTCAGCTTTCCATTTTAGTTGCAGCTCTCTGTATTTACTGAGATTTTACCAGTCACCAATTATAGAACTAAAATTAGAATAGCATTCTCAGTTATTAGCATGAACAATTATAAATAAAAAAAAAGAGTGTGTGTAGGATGAAGAATGATGGAAATATTTCAGTTTTGGTTTTCTGCTATTTTGTTATATATGAAGTTCAACACTAACATGGAACAGTAGAAAACTACCAGCTAGTACTGAACCAATACTACAGTCAGGCCTCTAGACTTAATGTTTTAAGTATCACGTGATCAAAACCACAGCGTATCTCCCAAATTTTGTAAATAACAACTTAAAAGAAATTCACCTTAGTTTACTAAATAATCTTTCTTTCTACCAAAAAGTTCTGCAGTTCAAAATTATCATTATTAATTTTTTTTTTTTTTTGCAAGAGCAGTTGGATTTTGCATGTTTTCATTAGCCACCTTGGGATTTTTTTATATGAAGTTGCTTATACTGATTTGAAATAATTTTGTTATTTGTTTCATGGAATTTCTAAATTTTAGTCTTTTGGTGAGCTATGTTCTCTACCATTTTTGCAAGACAGTAGTTTTCTTCTGATACGTCAAGGAGTATTAGAGAAAAAGTTCTTACCAATTCATCCTCTGGATTTTAGGGTTGTATTTTAGAAATAATTCTCTAAACATATTTTCAATGAGGAACCTGCAGATCCTTGTTAGCTCATTTGCTTTTTTCTTCCTTTCACATTCTGCAACAATCTTAAGGCAGGGACTAAAGGCCAGTCTTCTGAGGAAGTTGCCAGAGCCTGGGGAAAGCTAATGGACTGACTGCTAGTTACTCAGCCATTGTGTAGATTGTATAGGACTTCCATAGCACCTTGCATTTCTTTGTAATTCTCTTAACAGGGTAACGTGTACCTCACATGTGAAAATGTTGCACTTCCAATTTGTTTGGTTACTTATGTTCATTTGTTACATTTTTTTATTGTTGATAAAGCATATTATTTTATCATTGGCTTCAGAGTGTGTGTCATATAACATGCATATATTTTTCCCTGTCAAAGTTCTTGAGAGTTTGTACCACTTTTCAGCTCACTAAGGACCTTACAATAGTAGGATTCTAAAACAGTAAATAGATCTGCTGGTGGGTAGGTACCTTCCACAGTCACCTCTCAGGAGTTGCACACTGAGGCAGAGAACAGTTGCTTTATGGTGACTGGACAGCTTGAATGTCAAATATGTATTTGCTAATCGAAACAGAAAACAAATTTTAATATGCTTTGTTGCATGCTTGTGATATAAGCTTTAGTCTTACTACCTCATTATTTATTTGTGTATAGTTTTACTTTATTTTTTTCTAGGGAGACAAAGTGGTACCCAAATTGATTAAGGGGTAGGAGGAGAAAGTCATTTGCTACAGCAGAGCCATAAACAGCAGGCTGGGGAAAGAAGCCTACTAACATAGTTAGGAAATTGTGCACCATCACAAAATCAAGGCAACCACTTATGACTAGAAACAGAGTAAAACCAGGATGATTTCTATCTGTCTGGATTATCTGTATGTCTTTAATTTAAACTCAAAACTTGGTTAAAAGGCTAAAAATAATCCCATTTACAAAAATGATTTTGAGCAAATGGGTATTACCATTGATTTAAATCAAAGCAAGGCTTATCAGTGGCATATAAATTAAGGAGTGGTACGGCATGGACTTGGGCACTGAACTTGAATCATACTGTTGATTTGTTAAAATACTTTCTGCATTTTTTGCTCTACACTGATTAAAATTTGCAGAAAAAAATCCTGTGCACAGTTGAGCTAGAGTCGGCTCAGGTTTGTTCCCAGTGAGTGGCTTGGTTGTGCTACCATGTTTAAAAAACCAGAGCATTTAATAGAGGGGATGTGGCCTCACCCACTTTATCTGGCCTATATCATTTAGTTTTATTTTTACGTATAATCATAAAGCGTAGAATTATAATATTGAGGCTGTGCTAATCCAAAGCTCAAGTTCTGGAAATCTGACTTAATTCTTTTCACATTAGGATCTTAGAAAAAGTATTTCAGAGTGATTTCCACCCTTGAGCAAGCAGGCCAGAAGCTTAAACAAGAATTTCTTTGGTGGGGAGGGCTAATCTCTGACAAACTTTGCAGCCTTAAATCTAAAATCCTGTCATATCTAAACTACATTAATTCATAAGTAACTTCAGACCAGGCATGCATTTTTCACAAAACCTTTAATGTGTAGTTCTGATCTTTGTAGTAGCATAAGCAATATTTTTAAATGCCCGCATTTCTTTTTAAGTACATCTGCATAAATACTTCTGCTAAAATACTGTCAGTATTTTCTAACACCTCCCCACCCACCTGAGTGTCTCCTTTATCACAGTGTTGAAAGTGTGGTGTGTGCAAAGGCAATGAAATTTTTCTGCTTTTTGTTGACTGCCATGGTTGATTTTTCATTTAATACAG